GCCGCCATCTTGGCTGACAGTTAATTTGCATAAGGATATGCTGATTAGCCAATGGGAAGGGTAGCGGTCATACGCTAATTACCATGTTTCTCTTTTATTAGTGTAGATCGTTGATGCTGGCTATTGCTCATGGTCTCAGATCTTCTTTGTTTCATCTCTCTGTTTGGGCTGGTTTGGGCTTCATAGCATGGTGGCTGCTTTCAAGGGTCAGTGTCCTAAGACAAGAGAGAGGACCAGGTAGAAGAGTATCACCTTTTGTGATCCAGCCTTGGAAGTCCTGTGACCTCATTTATGCTGTATTTTCTTTGTTGAAGCAGTTAGGAATCCTTATGAAGTTGAAGGGAAGAGGAGGGCAGGAAACTGATTCTTGTTGGGGAATAGTAAATAGAGTTCTGGAAGTTCACTGCAGTGACCATTTTGGAAAATACAGCTTGCTGTAGGCTGAAAATCCTGTTTGGATTTTGCCTCTGTCTTTCAGTGATAGTTGTAAACCACCTGACACAGTTGGTTGTAACAGCTTCTTTATGGTAAATAATGAAAACAAGAGCACTCTTCTGTCTTCTTTCAGTTTGCATAGTTATCTCAGCTTTTAAATGAACAGTTCTCTAACCTTTGGGCTACTCTAACATTATCAAATTAAGGGCAGGTTTTGGTTAAGCTAGATCCCCTCCCCTGAAAAAAGCCCCACCTTTATGTGCATGGACATAGTGAAAAACTTTCATATGAGAAGAGGAGATAGCCCCTTTCAAACATTAATATTATCCTATATAATAAAACCCTAATATGCAAATCCACTGAATGGTGGAATGACCAGTGGAATGACCGGTCGCTAAGATGTGCACTGACTACCAGGGGGCAGATGCTCAATACAGGAGCTGGCCCTTGGTGGTCAGTGGGCTCCCACAGGGGGAGCGCCGCTCAGCTACAAGCCAGGCTCACAGCTGGCAAGCACAGTGGCGGTAGTGGGAGCCTCTCCCGCCTCCACAGCAGTGCTAAGGAGCAGTGAGCAGGTGGGTGGTAAGGAATGAGGGGTCCCGGACTGCAAGAGGGCACAGGCTGGGCTGAGGAAACCTCCCCCCATCCCGTGCACAAATTTAATGCACCGGGCCTCTAGTTAGTAAATGAAAACTAGATGTTCTGATAAGTTTTACTACATAGATAAGCAAAAATGAGTTAAAAGCCTTAAGTTGAAAAATAAATATTGAAGATAATACTAAACTTAGAATTAAAAAATAAATCACTCATTAATTTTACTTCCCTTAATACTATCTTCTTTCTGCCTACATTACAAACTAAGTGGTAGAATTTCTTCATTTATGGGTGGGTCACAGGACATTTGCATGTTACAACTATCTCCCTCATCCTGGTTACCTCAGAGTGAATGTGATTCTTAAGATATATCAGGGCCTTAAGTTGAGGTCTTGAACCTTGGTGTATTAACATTTATGTTAAAATACCTTCCACAACCACAGGCAGGTAGTAAGTGCTCAAAAAGTACCAGAGTATCTCTGCTTTCTAAGGACTTATAACTGGAATGGGCATTGACCAAGGTGAGTCATGTATGTGTATGCCACTATAGCCTTTTCCCAGTTCATTTTTTTTCCATGTGGCAGTCAGGGAAAAAGGGAAAGACCAGGTGTGATTATAGTCTGTTTGATTTTTACAAGTAAACCCATTTTTTCTCAGGTTTTTGAAAATGGAGATTGTCTTATAGTTCAGAGGTCAGCAAGCAACAGCACATTGGTCCAATCAAGCACTGCTAGTTTTTATATTCTTTTCAGAAAAATAAAACCTATCTTGTAAATGTCAGTGTCACAAAAATTTATCTGTGCAATGCCCTCAAAGGATTTGGAAAAATATAAGTCCTCTGAGAGTTAATAAATCAAATATATATGGAAAAAGGAAATGGCCATGGTCCTCTTAAAAATTCAGATGGCTACAATTTATGTAGGTCTTGACTAATCCCAATCATCCCCTTAACATCTGTGGAAAGAATTCCTCACCAAGAAGGAGAAAGGCAGTTATAATTTAAACATGGGTTGGGGTGTGTCGCAGAGGCAAACATTGTTAGTGTCCATTGTGTGATTGTTACAGAATTTACCAGGTGACCGAAAAATACACAGGCATACTTGGAGGTCCAGGATAAACCCATTTATTTTCAGATGTTTCACATGTATTAGTACAGTGACTCAGGGGGTCAGTTCTCCAAATCCTGAGTAAGCCAATATGGATGAAGCTTTCTCTTTATACCCTTTGGTTTCTTTGTCTCCCATATATGGATCATACTTCCGGGTCTTTCACGGGCTTTGCAAAAAGCCCCATGTGTTGGGATGGGGGACGTGAGACCACAACTAAAGGCCTGACCTGGTGTCAGCACTGATAACCCCCTGATTCATGGCTTCTATAAAATGTGAGTATTTAGGTAAATAGGTCTTGCAAGACCAGATAATTAAGGAAGGGGCAGTGACTAGACTATAGGCCAGTGATGGCGAATCTTTTGAGCTCGGCGTGTCAGAATTTTGAAAAACCCTAACTTAACTCTGGTGCCGTGTCACATATAGAAATTTTTTGATATTTGCAACCATAGTAAAACAAAGACTTATATTTTTGATATTTATTTTATATATTTAAATGCCATTTAACAAAGAAAAATCAACCAAAAAAATGTGTTCGCGTGTCACCTCTGACACGCATGTCATAGGTTCGCCATCACTGCTATAGGCTAACAGGAATGTACTGATTAACTAGGTACAGAGTCAGGCTGCTGGTCTCCCCCCCAAAAATGTCTTAATTTCGTCAGCATGATTAGGGATACATTTGCTGCAAGGGACTACACTTGACTACAGGTTTAAACACCTGGGGTTTATTTTGCTCATGTAACAAGAAATTGGAGGGAGACAGTTGTTTGTGGCATTCTTTCAGCTGCTCACAATGGCAAAGTTGATGGCCTTGAAATTCCATTTATCTTTTAGCCAGCAGTGCTTCTCATGAACTTGTAGAATGCTAAGAGGTGAAAGGGATCTAAGAGGTCAT